ATAAGAAATAAAGATTCTAAAGAGGCAATATTCTGCACGAATGTGTCTTGGATGCACACATCCCTTAGTCAAGTCAATGAGAGCAGAACCAGACCCTGGTGAGGCAGAAGTCACACTTACATAATGTCCTGGCCATTTGGGTCCTGAGGCAGTACAAAGACTGGTTCTCAAGGGGAGTTACATAATCTCTTCTCATTCCCTGGAGACCTTTAAGGGAGGGAGCGACTAGTATCTGTCAGGGGTAGTTTGGCTGCAATGCTGCCTGCAGAAGTGAGAATGGAGTCTATGGCCCCCTTCGGCATGGGAATAAAAGTCTGTGGTGATACGTAATGTTCAGGCTACTTTCAATATCTTTGGCGTTCAATCGCTATCACTATTTGGCCACAGAAAGGAGGGGCTGTTCCAATCTTCCTTACAATTACCGCCCTAATTATTACATTATACTTTCATAATTTAATCCCTTTATTTGCCTCACTGCCTTTTTAGAGCTAAGTGAGCACCACAGTGTGACGCCTGATGATGTAGCTAGCAGGGTAGCCTTATTGAATGTTGCCCAGCCGCCAGCTACAAGCACAGCCAGGTGGGCAAGTCCAGAGTGCTAATCCGGACAGTGACATCTCTGTCTCCTGCTCCAAATCCTTGAAACTTGCTCTCTCCAATATGGAGTAAAACTGAGCACTATACATCAATGCCAAGAATCACCCTGTGCTTTGCTCTGTTAAGCTTTTGGTAGCATTTTAGCATCCTGAAGAATAATCATGCATAGAATTCCAATTGTTCTATTCCAGTTATTGCTCAGTAAATAACTATTGCATAGCTATTAATATCTAAGCTATATGATTAAAAAAAAAAAACTGTCAGGGCATTTTTTTTTTCACCTAGTTGCTCTATCTTTACAAAAAGTATTGAAGACCAAGCAGTTTAATCCAATATCTAAGCTATATGATTAAAAAAAAACTGTCAGGGCATTTTTTTTTCACCTAGTTGCTCTATCTTTACAAAAAGTATTGAAGACCAAGCAGTTTAATCCCACCATCCTGAAAATCTGGTATTCCCTCAAGGCAGGAGACATTTGTAGGGGGAATTTGCCTCCATCCACAACCTTTGGGAGCAAAACTTGAATAAAATGTTGATGAGATGAAACACTAGTCCGCAAGCTGCGTGACTCAGTAGGTTCTCAGTAAATATCAGTTGAGTAAATGGGAGTGGTTTTCACAAAGAGAACCTCTTGCTTATATCAACATACAAAGTGCTTGTTAATTTATCCCAAAATATTTGCTTATCTTTGTGTAGTTAGACCCAGAGCTGTGTAAACTGAATAAACAAAATCAAATTACTAACAGTTTAAATTTTATATACTCTGTAACCATAAGGATTATAATACTCTTGAACAATGGTAGGTAACAACCCAAAGATTTGAGGTGTGTTTTCATTCTCAAGTTTTGGAATGTTAGTAAAGAGNTATATCTAAGCTATATGATTAAAAAAAAAAAACTGTCAGGGCATTTTTTTTTTCACCTAGTTGCTCTATCTTTACAAAAAGTATTGAAGACCAAGCAGTTTAATCCCACCATCCTGAAAATCTGGTATTCCCTCAAGGCAGGAGACATTTGTAGGGGGAATTTGCCTCCATCCACAACCTTTGGGAGCAAAACTTGAATAAAATGTTGATGAGATGAAACACTAGTCCGCAAGCTGCGTGACTCAGTAGGTTCTCAGTAAATATCAGTTGAGTAAATGGGAGTGGTTTTCACAAAGAGAACCTCTTGCTTATATCAACATACAAAGTGCTTGTTAATTTATCCCAAAATATTTGCTTATCTTTGTGTAGTTAGACCCAGAGCTGTGTAAACTGAGTTAACAAAATCAAATTACTAACAGTTTAAATTTTATATACTCTGTAACCATAAGGATTATAATACTCTTGAACAATGGTAGGTAACAACCCAAAGATTTGAGGTGTGTTTTCATTCTCAAGTTTTGGAATGTTAGTAAAGAGAATAAGGAGATTTTTCAGGTGCCCAAAAGTGATACAAAGCCTTGTGTTTTTAGCTTTCTTGTTTTACGTGTGATTACATCTCATTTTATCCTTAAGCATTCCAAAAGTAGGTATTAATGCTTTCGATTCATAGATGAAGATAAGTAAATAAAGATCCAGTGGATGAGGGATTTTTGTGGAAAACTACCAATGAAATCTGGCAACAATGAGTCAGAAAACATGAAGACACAGTCACTCAAAGTGCAGGGAACTCACACACATTCCACACTCACCTGGCCTTGTGTTCTGCAGTTAAAACTACGAAAGGCTATGGAAAGGTTGGGCTGAAATATCCACTCTGTTATGTGAGAGCTGTGTCTGGAGAAACTGTGCACTTTAAGTAAACTCTCCAACTGTTCTTATCTGCCACAGATGGAGGAAGCTATGTAACAGACAACACAAGAGCAAGGCAGGATGGTACAGCCTATTCCACTAAGGACAGTCACTAAAATCTTCAGTGCAACTGATCGAGAGCTGCACTAACTGCTCTTAAAAGAGAAGGCTGGAGACTACTCCATGAGCACATAAAGGGTTTCAGAATCACCTGTTGTTAAAATATTTAAAAAGATTAGAGTTCAACAAACATTACCTCTTTTGCACTTTAAAAATCGGCACATCACAAAGTTATTAAGGGTCCAAATAAACTGATTTCAGTTATGTTCAACAAGCAACCATTAGGTGACAATAGTCAGTTGTTAGTGGTAAATCAACAGGGAATTGGCTGGCTGGTTGGCTCAGTTGGTTAGAGCATGATGCTGATAACACCAAAGTACAGGGTTCAATCCCTGTATCCCTGTACAGGCCAGCTGCCAAAAGTAAATAAATAAATAAATACATTGGAATAGTTCCCAAACTTGAGTGAGGGTCAGAATCACCTGCAGGGCTTAGTAAAACACAGATTGCTAGGTCCACCCCCAGAGATTCTGACTGAGTTAATCTGGGATAAGGCCTGAAAATCTGCATTTCTAACAAATTCCCAGGTGATGCTAATACTGCTGGTCCAGCCGCTACGCTTTGAGAAGCACTAGCACAGAATACAGCACAGTGCAGTGCAGAAGTTCTCAACCTTGGCTGTACATTAAGCATCACCTAGGAAGCTTTCAAAAATCTCCCCTAATTAACTGGCCACACCCAAGACCAATTAATTCAGAATTTGAAGGAATGAGCCCCAGCATCAGTAGTTTTTAAAAAGTCTCTCGGTGATTCCGATGAGCTGGAAAGATTGAGAACCATTGGTACGGGAAGAAAGACTTTGTGTCCCTAACTGGTTGTGAAGAATATATATTTTGTAAACCACTGAACGGAATCATTGGTATACTGTGTATCCTCAATAAATGATTATTCTTTCCTTCCCCCATTTTCTTCAAAAGTGTATCACAAGTCATTTAAAGAGTGAAATCTAATTATCCACCATAACATATATCTATGGCTTTTAAAATGAGCTGAGTTCTGTATTTGTGGATTACTAGTTTAGAGGGGCACATACAAATTTCATATTTTCCTATATTTTACATGGAATATACTAATGCTATTTATAAATCTGGAAATCTATAAAAGTTTGGGTATGTATCACACATATGTTGGAGGTATATTTTATAATTAAACATAATTTCATTGGTATAATTTGGAAGCCTTTTGTACAAATTCATGTAAAAGATGGGGAAGTATATCTAATCACAGGGGAAGAAGGAAGGTGAGTCGATAATTAAATTAGTCTAGATCAGTGGTCCTCCAAGTGTTGTCCTTGGATTGGCAGCATCAGCATCTCCTTGAAATTTCTTAAAATATAAATTCTCAGACCCCTACCCCAGATCTAATGAATCAGAAACTCTGAAGGTAGGACCCAGTAATGTTCATTTTAACAAGATTTCCAGGTGATTTTAAAGCACATTAAAGTTTGAGAACCACTGGTCTAAAGTATTCATTACTTCTATACATCTGTAAAAGGAACCAAAGGGGTAAAAGCACTGCTAATCCAATGTGCATTTGTTCAGTTTCTATACAGACACACTTTGCTCTAATAATAGTCATACTCTTTTAAACTCCACCCAAAGCTTATTATCATTGCATTATTAGAACTTAACAGTGAAAGTAGAATTAATGGATAAGGAGTATATCTGGAGGGAGTATATTCTATAAATCGTCTACTATCATTTTTAATCTGTTTCTATTTTCTACTCAGGACGGAATTAAGAGTGTGAAACTTGACTTAGAAAGATAAGAACTAGGAAAAAGAACATCGCAGGAGGTTGGAAGGGGGTAGAGTATTCCTAGGTCTAACACTAACCTTGAATTGTCCTCTTGAAGAATGCCTTGCAGGCTTCANAAAAGATGGGGAAGTATATCTAATCACAGGGGAAGAAGGAAGGTGAGTCGATAATTAAATTGGTCTAGATCAGTGGTCCTCCAAGTGTTGTCCTTGGATTGGCAGCATCAGCATCTCCTTGAAATTTCTTATAATATAAATTCTCAGATCCCTACCCCAGATCTAATGAATCAGAAACTCTGAAGGTAGGACCCAGTAATGTTCATTTTAACAAGATTTCCAGGTGATTTTAAAGCACATTAAAGTTTGAGAACCACTGGTCTAAAGTATTCATTACTTCTATACATCTGTAAAAGGAACCAAAGGGGTAAAAGCACTGCTAATCCAATGTGCATTTGTTCAGTTTCTATACAGACACACTTTGCTCTAATAATAGTCATACTCTTTTAAACTCCACCCAAAGCTTATTATCATTGCATTATTAGAACTTAACAGTGAAAGTAGAATTAATGGATAAGGAGTATATCTGGAGGGAGTATATTCTATAAATCGTCTACTATCATTTTTAATCTGTTTCTATTTTCTACTCAGGACGGAATTAAGAGTGTGAAACTTGACTTAGAAAGATAAGAACTAGGAAAAAGAACATCGCAGGAGGTTGGAAGGGGGTAGGGTATTCCTAGGTCTAACACTAACCTTGAATTGTCCTCTTGAAGAATGCCTTGCAGGCTTCACATGATGCTACCCCATAGTGGTACCCAGAAGCGATGTCACCACACACCAAGCACAGTCTCTTGGGCATCGAGTTGAGCATGTATTCACACTTGGTCTGGGGATCTTCCACAATGGTGCTGGAGCAGTCATCATACAGTTTCCTGACAGGCCCACTGCCTCCCAGGATAGGAGCGGAAGGGTACAGAGGGGGAGAGTCAAGTCCGTTCTGATGGCCATTCATGGTTGAACTGTAGCTCCCACTGGCGTCCGAGGAGCCACCAGGGCTGTGGTGGTTGACGCTGTCCGTCAGGGAGGCGGGGCTGGAAGGTTCCGTCTTGATGAAGGACGAACAGCTGGAATCAATGTGTCGATCTTTGTTTGACATTCTGCAGAGAAGCCTGAGATGAGGGAGATACAAACAGAGAGAGAAAGGGAAGGAGAGAGTGTCAAACACAGATACCAAAAGAGGTAGAACCAAAGAGATGGTGAAAAAATAGAGAAAGTGAAAGGAAGGATGAAAGGAGGGGGAAAACAATAGAAGGATTCACATGTTAAAGACATTGCCCTTTGAGAGAGCTTCCTAAGGGCTGAGGACTGCACATCATTCATTCTCTGGTCAATATCTCTTGTTCTACAAGAAGGTAATCAGCATAAGGACAGGACAGGGTTACATCACAGTGTCCAGACAGGCCATAAACAAAAGCTCTAAAGGGTCCGGTTGCTTTTATTTTGCCTTTCTCTTGGACAACCACAGTCAATACCTAAAATCCACTCTCAGATTCTAAATTCATTAATGGAAAAGGTGATGCTTTGCAAAGTCCCTATCACTTCTAAAATTGTATTGATCCTCACTCTACTGTGCCTCCCACATCCTGAAGCAGCAATCATTTTATCATGAGCAGAATCCAACTTTTATTCTCAAGACTGAACAGATGATCCTCAACTCTGTCATTCCTGTTTGTCAGCACGCTTCTATAAGCATAAGTGTGTCTTTTATTGATCTGCTAAAACACATAGGGAATATATCCTCAATCACTGTGTTTCTTTACTTAAGTTGCTCTATTTCATAGCAATTTAGCAATACAGAAAGACATCAAGTATAAAATTCTAAGCCAATATTTAAGGATTATTTCCCAGATCCCACAAAACTTGATGAATGATCACCAGCCCTGATTAATAAATATGTGCATGTGTTCATGCATATGTGTGTTTTTGTGTGATTTGCCACTGTTTAAAGATGATTCAGTAAAAGCCATTTGAGCCTTCAGTATACCTGTGAATCCATAAATCTGATACTTTAGATTTGGTAACGTAGAAATGTATCAAATTTTGTCCTGAAAAAATTGAGATTTGTGATTGTCCCTTTCCAACCTTCTTTTTGTCTTTTAACATTATACTTCCTAAAAGGAGGTATGATGAAGTATCTAATCTAACAAAGTTTCTCTTATCTAGAAGAAACACATCGTTCCTCTTTCTTTGCTGACCCCATAAGTGACTGAATTTCTGAAAAGGTAATTAGATGAAAAGATGTAATTGGTCCTATTTTCTTTCCACTTAGCCATAGTGCAAAACCCCTTTTAGCAAAGTCTCTAAGAACCTTCTGGGAGCCCACTACAGAAAGAAGAGGTGACAGTTGAAAAAGGGACTTAGATAATTGCTTCCCAGTAGAAAGGTGATTTATGGGAATCCCACTGGGTAATGGTCATTCACTAGAATTTGGAGGAGTAGTCACAGTACAACCAAGGGGATGCAATTATCTCTTTCACTATAAATCTGATGATATTTCATCATTGCACAAATTTCATGCTCTCCTGCAGGTCTTCCTTCCCCCATCATTCTGTAACTTTAAAAGTGCAGAAAAATATGGAATTTTCTATCAGCAGTGTTCCAAAAAGTCAGGCTCAAGAGTGAAGCATTGAAGCAAGAAGCTGCCTCTTCACAAATATATCTCACTTTGGATATTTTGCTCTGCTTTCTAAAGCCAAGCAATACCAGGGTGTGGAGAAGTGAAGCATTGAAGCAAGAAGCTGCCTCTTCACAAATATATCTCACTTTGGATATTTTGCTCGGCTTTCTAAAGCCAAGCAATACCAGGGTGTGGAGAAAGCAAATGGGAAGGACAGAACCACCCAAACATCTTGCTTTCGCCCACCCACTTGTGTTGTCCTTTCCTCAAGAACCCGCAGAAGAGCAAACATCCCCCTCGCCAGCCTGGACTCTGCCTGCTGCATCTGCTGCCTTGTGCCCGTCACTGTTAATGAGCGTCGTAATTAATAGATCGCTCTCCCTGTCTCCCGGCCTGCACTCGGGGCTAAGCACTTTCCTCAAGTCAACGTTTGAAAGAAAGCGGGTCGGCTCTGACTTACAGCAGCCCTGCGAATTCCTTTTAATTTAGAGCACTTACACCACCACTTCACTTATTACCTTATAATTACGGGACTGCTCGCACATACATTATGATCCCACACTAGAGTTAGAAGTTATTAGGGTACTAAACCATGGTTGCTCCCCTTTCCTCTCTCTGGCACTGAATTTTTCACAGCTGTGACAATTAACTCTTTCACCATCTGCCCACAAGGCACTTTTCTTTCTTTTTTTTTTTTTAACTTCTCATCTTCTAGAGAAGAGATGCTTGCAGCTGCTTGATCACAAAACACCCCACGTTTTCCTCCAGGCCCCCCTTCCCCCACCCGTCCCGCTCTCTCTTCCTGTATCCTCCAGGGTCACTTTCATGCCAGTTTTCTTTCCCTCGGGGCTTTTTCTCACTGACTTCTAAAATTGGCAGAACTCTTGATTTAAGGAAGATGGCCAGAAATTACCCTTCCATGAATGGATCAGTTATGTGCTATGTTACCAACTGTTTATGTGTCAAATATATGTTGTTCAAGTCCCTGAAAAATAGGGACTCTCCAGCCAGCTGTTTCATCCAAAATCTCAGCCCACAACTTTGCAATAACCCAGATGGAAGCGAGGGAGTTCAAGAAGTACGAGCTACTAGAGAAGTCCTTGGAAGAACAACACTATCTTCTCCCAAACAAGGCCTGGCCACTCTAGCTGTAATTGAAAGTGAACAAACTAGATTTGTGCTGTTTCTGTTCCGACATGAACTGCTTCCTTAATTAATACCTTTGGCCCAGTGGAAGTAATAATACTCAGAATTGCCAAGTGCTTCTTATGCACCATGCACTATACACTGAGCACTATACAAACACTACCTCATTTAATGCCCAAGACAACCTTGGGAGGGAGGTATCACTCTTTATGTAACTAAGCCTCAGATATTCTAAAATTTGCTGAAGGTTACACAGCTAGGAAGTGGTACAGCTGGAATTTGAATTCAGGTCTCATTCCAAAGTCCAAAGCAGAAATGTTTTTAATGGTGTTTAATCATTTTTTAAAAAATAGCCAAGCAAGCAGCAGTAGAGGTGTCACATAGAGACCCACTGTTTTATTTCTCAGCAGCTACATCCACGGCTCACCCTTGAGTGGAAAGGGGCCGCAGGGGCCGCCACACTGGCTGCAGGTCTGCCCTGTTAAATGGCCCTCCCTAGGGTTTGGAGTGACGCCTAAACAGAATCTCTGAAAGAACACAGTTGTCTCCTAATTACTACTTAGCTCATTACACTGAACACTTCCTAGACACCATTACATTATAACCTGAAACTACAGCAAGTCTTAATTCTCTCCTTCTCTGTCTCTGAAATTCTACAGCTCTATTATTCAAGCCTGAAATATTCACAACTATCTATAAATTCAATTGTCAGCTGGTGGGTTTTATTCTAGACTTCACTTCAATCTAAAATTAGAGGCACTAAAATTCACATTAACTCTAAGAGGAATGTAGTGAATAAGACTTTATTTCAAAAGAACACCTTTTTGTCAGAAAGAGCCATTTTCAAGATGATGGCTTTATCTGTAGCCAAAGAGAATAAGCCCCATTCCACA